TTTTTTTTTTGCGTAACTTGTCAGTGAACTCTGTGAACTTGTCTATGTGTAGTAAATTCTGCTCCATCTGAAAACACGTGATGATGATTTCCTGCTTATTACAGAACCGGCATTACTATCAAAATGCGCATGACAATCGCATTCGATTAATCGTGCAGCCCTAGAATTATGTAATTAAATTACAAAATAAATGTAACAAATCTGTTACAGTTACTGAGAAACAATGTATAATTAAATTACAGTTACTTATGGAAATGTTAACGATTACAAAGGGGGTTACATCTGAATATTTTCACACATGCAGATTTGATTGATTTCTTTCCCAAATTGCACTGACTGCTCTAAAATATGAGACACCAATGTTTCAGGAGTTTAGGACACAGAATAGTACACATGCTCATTTGATAACTGACTTATTATTATTTATGTATATGCTTTATTTTTTAGGATTAACTGTTTTTTTCCAAGTGTTCCCAGACATAGCTATGTAAGGAGTTGATTTAAAAAATGGTATCATAGCTATTACAATATATCTTATGATTTTAAATCTGTTTTTAACCTCAGAATGATATCAAAGTAAAAAGAGGTGCTAAAGTTTGATTTTGTGGTGGCTGTGCTTTAAAATTAAATTGTTATCTTAATTCAAGTGATGAAGTCTGACTTCATTTTGAAAGTCTGACAGTAAACCGTGTTGAGTTCTGCTGTAAGGTTAACCCTGCCTGCATTAAAAGTTTCAAAATGATTAACAGTTGAAAACATTCGTTAAAAATTTAGAAAAGTAATCAAATTTAATCAGTTACATTACTTTTAAAGCAATTGAAATAGTTACACTACTTATTACATTTCAAATAGAGTAACTTGTAATCTGTAACCAATTACATTTCCAAAGTAACCTTCTCAACAATGTTGATACATTTGATACATTTGTTGTTTGAAATATATAAAACAATTTATTTTATTTGGGTGACTTTGTCTGTTATCAGATTTACCAATTATCTAGTCCTTTCCTTATAGTTTCAGGTAGCCAAAACTTAGTTAAAGCTGTTGGAGAGCTATTTAGCATTTGGCTGTATTCCCCAAAATTAGCTCTCACTATCTTTGATCACAGGCAAGTGATTTTGTCCAGGAATCATAAAATGAAAATGCTTTTTAAAAAAAATGAAGGGGTTTAGTAAATACAAATGGCAACAAGACCGCAACGCGACCACCGCCTCGACTGCACAAAACGCTTCCACTAGCTTCCTCGTCCCGTATGTGCGCATCCATGTTGCCTATACGAACGTGATTGTAGCAGGATCACGTAATTTACTCAAACAAATGATAATTTCTGATATTGGCTGGTAGGTGGCATTAACTCTCAGGACAGCTATGAACTCGGCAGAGAACTTCCCTCTGCAAGCCTGCGCCTCGTCCATTAACAGCCTGTAAAGCAGGACTTCTCAGCGTGAGAAATACAAGGTGTGGCGTGAGGGCGTGTGAACTGGTTGAAATGCATGTCTCACGGTGAATGCGCAAGACTTGAGAGCCCTGTGTTTATGGAGATTAGAACTAAAAAAACTGCCCCAGAACAGCTCTCAGCGTGGACCATAGGCACTGATCATGTTGTTATTATTGCAGAGCGCATATTCAATCCGTAAAGATCGCAGGTGCATTTCCCTCACTATATGAGCGAGAGAGAGAGAGAGAGAGCTGCGCCGGTGCGTCCAGTTTTGTCAACAAAACTGGATGCTCTCCCTTTCTCTCCCTCTCCCTCAGATATTACAAGTGCGTGTTATGCAGTGTGGGCAGTGGGCACCGTCCGGCAGAAACATAAATCTGCACCTATGGCATGGACGATGAAACAAAACCTTGTCAGAGCCGTAATGCGGCGCAGAAGTGTGCTTGCCGCATGTCTACATTTGAAACAACGAACTTGAGCGTGCAAAAGACACTATGTGAACGGCAATTTTTTCCCTGCACGTCACGTGCGGGTCTCCGTTTTAATGATAAGAGGAGAGGAAAGGTTAAGAAAGCACTCCAGGTAAATTTTGAAATAAAGTTGATAAGCAGTTAAATGTGTTGGTTTTCCCACAAAGAAAAGTGTAAGCTCTTAATAAGTCCAAGAAAAAAATGATTCATTTACTTAACATGTTAAATTTGATTTACAGAACTTTTGTGCTGTTTTCTAAGTTTGGTCTTAAAGAGAGAAAACTTGCACTTAACCTTTTCACAGGCATTTTGTTTTCATAGACAGATATTGTGATGTATCATTATAGGATTGTCTAGCAATATATCGATTACAGCAGTAATCGATGACGCTGTATCGTGATATTATCGTATCGAGGGCCATGTATCGTGATTCGTGTCATATCGTGAGGTACCCTGCGATTCCCACCCCTAATAGACAGCCACACTTAGTCATGTGCTGTAAGATTTGTATGATACTTATCTCTGCTATTTTTGTTGGTCTTGTCTGTGAAGGTGTTCTAGCTGGGCATGACAACAGAGTCAGCTGTTTGGGAGTAACCAGTGATGGCATGGCTGTGGCCACCGGTTCTTGGGACAGCTTCCTTAGGATATGGAACTGACCTCACTGGGTTGGACTTCGGGAGCCACTCTTTCTGATCACACAATCACTGTAGTGCACCGCTGCCACAGAGGACCCTTCCCTCTCCATCTCCTCCTTATAGATGACCTAGTTTTCTTCATCTTCTCTCTTTCTTAGACCGCATTATCCCACCATCCTGCAGTCAGTCAAAGAGGTGAGGACCAACAGCGATGAGCCTCCACTGGCTCACTGTCTTTCTGGCTTGATGTCTGACTCGAGGTGGGGGACACGACTGTGTTGTGTACAGTATATATCTGCCATTCTGTGTGCTTGTATGTATAACATATGCACTTCTGACAGTGTTTGGATGTTCTGATGTGTGGATACTCGTGATGGGTGTCTTAACTGTCCCTGTTTTCTTTTCCTGCTTATTTTTTTTCTCTTTGTCCCCAATCACAGTGCTATTTGCCAGACACAGTGGCCAGTGTAATTAACTAAGGGATTAGGCTGCCACAGTATTGTAGGCCATTAGTGTTTGGCCCTCAACCTTAATTTAGTTTGCGTCAGGTAGCATCAGTGTTGGGTCTATTCTTTCATAAATGGTTCAGGCTCAGCTTGGTAATGTGTAGTTGTGAGAGAAACACTGATGCCACTGAGCTTGTGTTTGCCACCCTCTAAGCTTGACAGTAATGTTTGGCGTGTTTCAGTGTATTAAACTGTATTACAGACAGCACAGAAGGATTTACTATCAGCCTGTCTGTCCATCTGTCTTTACTATCACTATATGTACTATCTGAGATTTGCTGCTTTCCATATTTATTTGGCTGGATATATGATACATATATGGTTAAAGGGATAGTTCACCCACAAGTGTAATTTGTTGTAATTTGCTCACCCTCATGTTGTTCCAAACCTGTATGACATTTGTTTTTTCTGTTAAAATCAAAAGAACAATACTCATATATTGTGATTTGTTGGAAAACAGCAGTCTTCTTTAGTACTGATGCATTTATGCTTAATGGATCCAAAAACCCCTTAAAACCGATATGAAAGTATTCCAGATGACTCTACATTCCAAGTCGTCTGAGGACGAACAAAATAATGAGTGAGAAGCAGACTGAAATTTAAGTTGGTAATCTAAATCAGTGTTTCCCAACCTTTTTTTAGTCGCGGCACCCTTTGGAAATTTTAACAAACTTGTGGCACCCTACAAAATAAATTGTCACAATATTTGAATTTCTAACGTCAATATGATAATTTGAAAAGTATAGATATTCGGTACAGCAGGGAAGAACTGCAGAATATAATGTCATACAGATATTTTTAATATTAAAAATTGTCCATCAATGGTGGCAATCAGTAGGCTAATTTCTAATGAAGAGACCAATTTATATGACAGATTTTAATGTAGGCTTTTATACATATGTAAACATTATTTAATTACCATTATAACTATCTCACAAATTTTTGCTCTGCTCTCGACAGACGGCACCCCGGTTGGGAAACACTGATCTAAATTTAGCCACTTAATTCAAATTGAGTGGGCTGAATGTACTCATGAGCCGAATCAGAATGACACATTTCATTAACACTCAGTTATCAGTGAATTACGACTTTGGTCTGTTATTCACAAAAATTTGTATGTCTTCATAGGACATGGAGTGGTACACCTATCATATGGGCCACTTTCATGGCGATTTTACATGTGTGGACGCACAAAAATCATATGGTTTTGGAATAACTTGAGGGTGAGTAAGTGATGACATTTTAAGCAAAACTATTTCTGGAAAGTTTCTGGTTAAGTCTTTTGTTTTGATTCAAACACCAAGCATGGCCTTGATGCTTTGTGAGACTTTGCCATTGGTGAGCAGGCTGGAATTGCAACCTGATACCTAACAAGAGACCTTGGTCACTGCCACTCTGACAATGTCTGCCTTTCTACACACACTATGAACACCTGCCCTCTGAGATGAAGACCTAGCTAGGACTGTATGCTTTTGCACTAGAAAATAGTCACGTGAGACTGCACACACTGGTGTTTCTGCACGTATTTGAATTAATGTGCTTCAGCTCTATGACAAAAAAAAAAAAACTGTCATGGACCACAAGCTACACTGTGTGTATTTAGTCACAAATGTGTGTATTGAAGGTATATAGCCCTCTGTCTGTTTCAGTAAAACAACAACAAAAAAGCAAGCCTTAAAAGTAAGTCATTTTTCACTTGAACCATCAGTAATCACCTTAAATTTGTGCCAATCAGTGTGAATTAATGTATAGGCTGGCTTTGTGAGCATATACAAATCTGTACAAAGGTTATGCTTTTCATTGTGGTTGTTTAGTTTTGGGCTTTTTTTTTCCAGTCAAGTTTTTGACATTAACGATACTTACATTTCCAATACCAGATTGCATTCAGTATTCTGTATTGTTTTGTGTTATTTCAGGTGTTTAATATATGACATTTACTGTTCATCGGGTAAATTTCATTTCAATCATGCAGTTACTTATGATATGAAAGGACATCCAACAAATGTGGAAGTTATGATCCTCCTGTTTTGAGTGTTTACAACATTTAGGCGGTTAAGGTAATTAAGGTACATGAAGAACTTTGCATAGTGCAATGAAGGCAAAAAGGGTTTTAACCTGAATTGATTTAGTAAAACCAACATAATTAATTTGACATCCAATTCTCCTCAAGGTATAGCCTTTGTAGGTGTTTAATTGACTTGAAGGTATGTTCCAGTCTCAATACAATACAAGTTCAATACAATCAACAATGTACGGTACACTTACAAGTAAATTAACTCTTATTTTTTCTGGGAAAATGAGGCACTTGCAATTAAAATAAATTATGTACAGCATATGTGCACATGTGTACATTTGGCAGTTATATTTGTATTATTTGGGTTTTGTAAATTGTCATTACCAACATCATTTCTGTGTGTATTTTTTCTTTTCCTATTAATGTCCTCTTGATTGAGTTTACTGACTTTATAGTCATTACAGGAGATGATATTGCTATGACTTTAGTTTCATGTTAACACAATGTGCAACTTTACTTTTAAATGGTATTTTTTAGTGTTTATTGATTTTGTTGTGTCTTCATTTATCCATGATTGTTGCTTTTTGTGTGTTTGTGAAGACTAATACGATTGACCTTAACTCGTATTGAATCCGGAACATTCATTACATTTGAAGTTCAACCTGAACTTGCCAGTTAGTCCATAAAGTACATGAACATGACCGTAGGGAGCAGGCAACATAATATCCTATGGATATTTCAGCTAGCTTACTGAGCCTTATCCTATGGATAAGATCAAACACTGTGCTAGCAATACCACAATCCACTGACTCAGAGGGAAAAAAACTGCTTGCTTCTTAAGTTTACAAAAACCTTAACGGTATAAAAAAATCATGCATGGCCTTTATTAAGTTAGAACTTGAGAATTAAATCAGCGTGCAGGTATTTACCAACTGTGAAAATGGTTGTGTTAGAACTATCATATTAAATGATGCAGCTTATATTATCCAGATCTTTGCAATCACTTTTTCTTTCATTTACAGTAGGCACTCAGCACATAACTTATGACGTGAGGCCTAAATATTTAAATTTTTTGAAAATGGTTTCCCTCGCAACATTTGCTTTCCACGTGCTGGCCTTCTTGCTAGAGGAAGTGAGAGCTTAATTTTTCTGAATCTGAATTGTTTTTACAGAGGTGGTTATGCTGACAAGCATTGAAATTACTGCACTGAAACCCCAAGACAGATTGGCAGCAGTTCATGTAAAAAAATTGATCACAATACTACAAAGAAATACCCTGCCTTCAACTCTAAAAATGAAAGTGAATGCAGAAGTAAATGCAGCGTTTGCTGTAGCGTGATCACAGATTCAATGTACCACATTAAAGTGTTGTGTGTTAGCTGTGTTTTCACTTGCTACAGAAACCTTTTCATTTATATACAGGACACAGATAACCGAAGTGCAATCTTTTACGCATATTAACAACAGACTGTCACCAACCCTCAAACAAATTGTAGTTTACCAAAAAGCAAGCGTGCGTCATTATTGGGCATAGTGGTTTTGATGTATTTTATATAGCGATAGATCTACTCCTTTATGGGTATTCTGTTTGTGGTGCAAAATAAATGATCCTTGCTGATGTAATGGGCAAAAATATCTGGATGGTCCTGCATATGCTGTAACTATTTGATTTAAAACCAGATGATTTTGATTTTAATTCACTTATTCAGTAATTATTAGTTCTGCGATTTTTGTCCCTCCCTGGTATGTGTGTGTGTGTGTGTGTGTGTATATCATGGACAAAACCAGCAGACATAACTGCCTCTTGATTCAAACACACATTCCTCTTAATTCACTTTAAATGCTTTATTGAAAACAGATTTGTATTATTTGCTTTATGTTGGCTCCGAAAACAATGATCTCTTGCTGTGGGATCTTTTTTTATTTTTTAACAGAATTTGTATTCGTACAGTGGCAGTAAAATCTGTTACTATTTGTTATCATAACCAATAAATGCTTTTCATCAAGAGATTGTCTACACATTATTACTTTGCTACAATTAGTTGTTTGTCAATGAGAAATCTGGACATCTTGAACTGAAATAAATCTTTTAGAGTCCATGTAATTTTCCATTCGGCAGGCGTTGGGTTGTTCCAGCACTGAACACTGGAGGACAGTCTTACTCCTTCCCAGTTTCTTGCTGCTCTAGTTAATGTTGAGTCTGCAGATACTGTGCTGAAAAAGACTCCAGTTGTGACTCCAGATCAGTGGCTTTATGCCTGGGAATAAAACAAATGTTATCGTTTCAGGCCACATAAAACTGAATTGTGTGATTTCTGAACTAATTGTATTACCAATGACAATTGCAAAAAATGAATGCAGTTTTTTTTTTCCTGAACCCTCCCCTGATTTTGCTCTATGGACTCTATACTATTGTTTGAGCCAGTGTTGATGTGTTTGGAGTGGTTTGGATGCTCAATCTTTTCAGAGACCTGCCGCACAAACCAGGTCTAAGTGGCAAGTTTTTCTGTCTGAATAATGTTTCTTAGAGGTCTTTATTGGCACAGTGACTAACACTAATCTGGTTGGGAAAGTTTTGTTCTAGGTTCGAGACAGATACTGAGTGAAGCCACATTCTCAAATCTCGTTACATAGTTGTATGCAATTGATACAGGTCAATGATACCTGGACTATTATCAACTTTGACTTTTTTTTTTTTTAGCATTTGAAGATGTATTGAGGTCTACAGATACTTAATGCATTACATATGAGCAATTATGTTCATACTTTTTATATTTGTATACAATAAAAATACTTTTAGAATTACAGTTTTTTTTTTGGATTTATATAAATTCACTTCTTGAACTTGATCTTCATCTTCAGAGAAAGTAATTCTGCTGGTTTTGTTCAACTCGCTTCATGAGGCAGGCCTTGGAAGAATCAATCTACAAATGGCTTACTATTAAGCTGGGATAGAAAAAAAATATTTTAGCTATTTAAAACTACATCAGCTTTAAGTCAGAAAATATAGCATAAAATACAACTGCAAGTTGTAATGTAGACATAAACATGAAATGCTGTTATATGATGCAGCCCCACCTTTGTTGTGCTTACTCCTACAGAATTACCAATTGACAAGGATTTGCTTTCAATTAAAGGCAATTATCTCCAGTATGAGCTGTCATTCTCTCTCACGCACATCATGACTGTTCTACCTGAGGGTTTTGGAGTGTTTCTGGACACTCTCCAGGCGCTGAATCCTGGCGCTGAGTCTTGCGGATCTCTGTTTCAAGCTCCATCTCGCTCTTGTCAACCTGTTGGCACATGCGGGTAAAGACGGCCACCATCTCCCTGCAAGAACACAGAGAGGCATATCCTTCACAC